ACACGTATTGGTTCGGAATCACGTGTTGATACTGTTGTACCAGTTATTGTTTTTAGTTGACAAGAATGTACAATGGATGCACAATTAAATATAACAGGAAATGGTACAAGATAATTTGAAGGGGAAAATTGATAAATAAGACCAAGTTCAAATGTTGTTGATAATGTAAATGCGTAACTAGCAGTAAGACTAACTGATGTTTGATTAATAAATTGAAATTGATCAGAAACTGCTAAATTTGTTAAATATGTATTATTTAAAAATGAACAATTGTAAATAAAATCCGGCCTTGTTGTTGCTGTTGTTGTTGTTTGGCAATATGTCATATGGATGTAAAGGAAAAGAAGAAACACAATAACCATCGCACAGACAACACACCATTGCGGCGTGTCACAAAGCAAGAATAATAGAATCAAATATCTGAAAGGACTATAGCTCAATATAAAATAGACAAAGAATGAATGTAACTAGAAAAATGTATATGTCACTTGGCATGCATCATCGAAAATGAAAGAGTGCTCATGAGAGTGAGACACTCCAACCGAGTAAAGCAACAAATAGTTAAATGATGTTTTTTTTTTCTTCTTTTTTTTTTTTATGAAATGTTATAAAAAAAAGAACAAGCTTGGTAATTATTTAATGATGTTCACTACTTGGAGTGTCATAAAAAAATGTTGTACTCTTATCAAAATACAAATTGAAAAAAAAAATTTTTTTATAGGATTATTTTAAAACTCTAAGGGAGATATGGTCGGATTTCTTAAAACCTATTTATCTCAGACAGTAATTAAATTAAACGAGATACTTACTGATAATTTTTTGATGATATATAACAATCGTCTGTGTTCACTCATAAACAAATTTTCAGCTTTTGATTTGATTATATAAGACGAATATTTTTTTTTTTTCGTCTTCTGACTTTTACTTTTTACACTCAATAAAGAATAATAATTATCGTGCTGAGTTAGTAATATTCTCCTACATATACATATATATGTGAAGAATATAGAGACTGCTGTTATCGTTGCACTCAATTTAAGTTAAGAACGATTATGATCATGAAAAAAAGAAAATATGTGAACTCTTCTCTAATCTTTAAGAGATTACCATAGCTTTTTTCTCCCTCTCTCCCATTAATGCATATTTTTTCTCTTCCGATCGATCGATCGATCAATCAATCAATTGATGTGTACACTTTTCTTTACATACCTGACTGAACTTAAATTGTCGGTAGATTAGTATCATTTATAATCGAACTGTTACTATTATCATTGGTGCGAATAATTTCGTATGTCAATATCTACTACTGAACATTTAAATCGAGAGTATAACACTTTAAGCACTTTTTATTTATCAATATTTCATATTTTACCTTGTAATAAAAAAAAATGTATACTGATTTTCATTCTTTTTTTTCTTTTCCTTCTTTCTTTCTTCTTTTGTTTCCTCATACGATGATTGATGTCATATACACACACTATATAATTATTCGTTAATGACTTTAAAAATGTGTGTGAATTCATAATATGATTACGTATTACCTTGGCACTAAATGTCTACGTACAAAAAACTAGAATTCTGTGTCTGAGGCTTTTTTTAATGAATATTTAACGTATACTTATGTTCGTATCAATGAGAAAAAAAAAGAAACGATCGTGTTTGAATATCAACAAAAAAAAAAGAAGAAAAGAAACCCAAGAGAATTCATTATGACAAAAAATTTAAATATTCAGATCACCTTCTATTCATTATCTATCTTATTTTCTTCTTCGTTACGTTTATGAATAGCACAGACATGAAATATATGTTAAACATGCTCATAGAACTAAGTGAACAATTCATCATGCTTGAGAGGTAAATTTAAAATGTATAGGTGTTGTTTGATGTTCAAACATACATATATATATATATATAATAGTAAGAGCGATGAAAGTGGACACTTGTCATATTGTTATACATACAAACAGGTGTAAAAGAACTAATGAAATTAAAGAACATGAGACATGTGTATACATGCGTATATCATGTCTATGTTTTATGTTAAATATTTCGATATTATAATCACAAGAAAAGAAAAAAAAAAGAATTGATCTTTGTAGGAGATAAATTTTATGTGTACAAAAAACATTGTTCAGAATGTAACATTCGATTTTGCACGTTTCTAATCCAAGGACATTCTATAATATCTAATTAATAGAGTATTAAATAGTTGACAAATTATTCTAACAGAGGGATATTTTAAATGTTTAAATATATAATCAGAAAAAATTTCATAATCTGGCGATACATGTGAGTCTTATGAAGAATAAAAGAACCTTCAGTAGTATATACATAATTATATAGTCATACTATTAAATTCTAAATATAGATATTAATAGATTATTTTAAATCTACTTACATTTATTTAACAGTTTTTCATGTTAAATATGTCACCTTTCACGATGTCTCTCTTTTCGTACTGTACTTATTCATTTAGTTGAGTGTGTCTGTTATTCAGTCGTTTTTTTCTCATCATCATCGTTGTCGTCATCGTCATCATCAGCATTTACTCGGTTTCTGTTACACTAAGTGATGCCGCGAGCCAATGTTCGTACATATAGCAATGTCTATTTACAATGATATTCAATCTTTCGTTTTTACTATATTGAGAACTGAGACGAACATATGTACAGAATTTTTGACTGATTTTGTCCTATATATTCTTTTTTTCATTCTTACTTTATCAAATATACTTTTTCTTTCACATATTAAAATTGAAAGGTAGCCTTTGAACTGCAAAGATTTCCAAGGATGCTATATATACATACATGATCTAGATACACGTGCATACAAATAGCTTCTTAATAATTGAATCAATCGACGACAATGATTGTGATAGACAGAAAAAATAATTGACATATAGTAGTATATTGAACATGTTATGTAAGTTTTTTTAGACACCGGATGATGAATGCGTGTGCGTGTGCGTGTGTGTGTGGCAATGCTCAGGTAAATGAGAAGGAAAGAAAGATTGTGAATAATATTTAAATGGATATAGTCATATGAATAAATCTGTCTGCACGGCATCACGCTTCATTAGTTTGTCAATAAATACAATGGATTGAAATTGTTTGTCAAGAGTCAAAGTAAAAAATAATGAGTAAAGTCGATTCAATAATCCGCCTCTATGAACAATGAAAATTTTTTAAGTAAGAAGGCATGTCTAGATAATCATTTTTCCATATCAATAACGCTTATTATATAATTGTGATTTCCAAACAATAAGACATTTGTGATTTAAGATTTTACGTCTCTCTCTCTATATATATATTCTTTCCGGTTAATATATATTCTTTCGATTTATTTCTCTTATGTAATTATAATTCTTCATTCAGCTTTCTAGTCGTCTTCAATCAAGCATATGTACTTTATATAATATATGATTGGCATTTTTTCTTTCTATCACCTTTGCTTATGTGTAATCAACAGAACCGAATTCATTTGAATATAACACAAAAAGAAAAAAAACAAAAGTTTCTTCTCAATAATCTACATTTGAATCAATCTCTATGATTGTACAATATATATAAAACAGTTGTAAGATACCAAGACAAAACAAATGAAAGCTCGTACAGGTAAACATTTGAGTACAAGTCATCATTTGTCAATATTAGTGAACATATCTTCAGTATTGAATTCATGGAAGTAGATATATCAAATATTTTTGAACACATGATTCTTCGTGTTTGATTATTGTTGTTTTTTCAGACAACGAAAGAATAGAGATTATACAGTATTTAAATTAAGAAGAATTAATAGAAATCATTGAACGAATGATACAAAATACTTGTTTCGATAAGTCTATATCAATCAAAGGACAATACATCACTACAAACTCATGTCCATTAGTAATAGACTAAATCGTGTTCATATATTCTCGAGTAGAACAACTATTACATATAATGTTCTACTTTTCACATCTGTATTTGTTGTACGTACATACACGAATAAGTCATTATGCTCGACAACTTCGTTACATAATATATGTTAATAAACACAGGTGTTATGTGTTTTGTTACAATTATGCCATGAAAGTTCGAAATATGTTTCAAGATCAATTACGAAAACTAAAGAAATGGAAGTGAATGAAATATTGGTCTTTGTATTTGATACTAGATTCTGGTTACATATTTTCAAGGTTTGAAATGAAGTATACATAGATAAAAATAGTTACTAACATTCATCTATGAATAAAGTCTAAGTACTTGTGAGGTAACCTGTTCGATGTAAATTTTAACGATGAATTCAAAATGAAATTTATGCATTAATTTCAAAGAAACAATTGATATTTATAGTAAAGTATGATGTTTAAAATCGTTGTCTTTAGAAATAGGTTTAAATAAAGTATAGATTTTCTATTACCTTTATTCATATCGTTGAATAGTTCTTCCATTGAATCGAAAAACAACTAGTTTACATTGAAGAATATGATCATCCACTGGATGTTAAAACCTATTTAGCAATATTTCTTATATCACGATTAATACCAGCTGTATATGATACGTTGATAGCAACATGAAACTCAACATGCATTGGGGTCCTTTGGACGTATAAAATGAATAGTATAATTATATAAATTTGAATCAAACGTTATTGGTGTAAGTGTTAGATACGCATCATTCGGATGACATAATCTATGAGTAAAACAAATATTTAAAGGAAGATTATCTTCCGATGATGATGATGAAATAAATTCAAACAGTAAGACAAAACATACAAAACCTTGTACGATACTCATTATAATTGATAAGTTATATATGTCATCAAATTATAACATTTTATGTTCTCAGTATTTATTCTGAGAGAGATTGAATAGATTTAAAAACAAGATAAAATTACGAGGAAAAAAAACATTTTATTTCGCATGTTTAAATACAATAAAAATAGTTATACATATAGTATCTATGAAAATATAATACAAGCAAGAATAACTAATTTAAGACTTTGAGTGTGACAGTATTTTAAAATTTTGTATTATCTTTTGGTGGTTTGACTTCAGTTTCAATATGTCCGCCAGAAGCAACTGCTGCATATGAAGCTGTCGAAGTAGATGCTCTACAGAAAGATTAATATTAAAATAAATAATTTTTGTTTGAAAAGATAAACAAAAATAATTACCCAGTAGCTGCACCAGAAGCAGCTGTATGTTCTACAGTTTTAGTTGTAGTGGATGTAGCTGATACTACTTTCGATGGACTAAAATATGAAATAATTTCTTTGTTTTCATATTGAAAAAGTTAGTTTTTCAAATTTTACCTATTCCCTTTTTTTTTGTTATGATGACCAGCAGCAGAAGAAGCAGTTTCATGTTCTACAATTTTGGTTGTAGTGGACGTAGCTGATACTACTTCCGCTGGACTAAAATATAAAATAATTTGTTTGTTTTTATATTGAGAAAATAAATTTTACCTTTTCACTGCTATTTGTGTATGACTATCAGCAACAACGGATTCTGTTTGACCTGAAGCTTGTGTTTGAGAAGTAATGACTGTCGTAGTTTTTGATTGTAATAAATTTTGAGTATCTTGTTTGCCTAATATACCAACTTGATCTGCAAGATTCGAAATATTTTCTCGTACTTGTTCTTGTGCTTCGACTAATGCATGTAATTTAGCTGCATTAGCTTGATCATTTAAAATATCGATTTGTTTTTTAGCATCAGCCATGATTACTTGTTGTTTAACTTGTAAATCATGTTCTAATTCAGCTAAAGTTTTAGCTTTAACAACATCTAATGCTTCAACTGCTTTTTGTAATTGAAGTTTATAATCATTGTCAATAATTAAATGGCGACGATTTGCATCAAGTACTAATTCTTCTTGTAAACGTTGAGTATTTGTAAGAACATCAGCAATTGATTTTTGAACCTATATAAAAACAATTAAAAAATCTTAAAGTGGAAAAAATTATAAATTTACTTGTTCATTAATTGCAGCTGTACGTGATCGAGAATATTGATCAACTTGTGCATGTGTTGTATTTAATTCTGATAATAAAGTATTAATATTAAGTTTAGTATTAAGTGTTGCATTTGCGTGAGTTTCAGATGAAATAACTGATTTAACATGAACATCATCGGATACAGCAGATGTATGTAGACGTTCTGTAGTAGCAGCATTACTACCTTCAACTGTTACTTGTTGATCTCCATCGGGATATGTGCCGAATATAGCGTTAATAATAGCTGACATCTTTGTTATTTAATAGAATAAAATCTGGAGTTATTGTAATAGTATTGAGATGCTTGGGTTAGCGAATGAATGGTAATGATGATGCGCAAAGAATATATAGTACTCTTGTTTTCTCGTTGTTTATTTTTATGCTTAGTACGTTCTCTCTCTCTCTTTTTTCTCTATATTCGCAATAAAGATTCACTCCCATTCTTTTTCTATCTATACATGAGTATAAAGGATTCATAAGAACGGAAAAGAAAAAAAAGAAAACAAACGTAAATTATTACGGCGATTGCTACTCAGATAAAAAAATAACAGAGAGGAGAGAAAGAAATTGGATCTGTGCATATGGGATGTTGATATGATGTTAGCATATAAACATGAAAGGTTGAAAAAAATGATCGCATAATATTTTTTTCGGGAGAAAGATAAAAATAGATATGATGACTATGCAATGCTTTGATTTAACTTATACAACTATTCCGCACTGAAAACAATAAATCAAATACGTTTTATTATTGCTGTACAAGAGAAATGCGTATTTTATCTCTTTCTATCGTTACTAATAAAAAATGAGAAAGGGGTATACAGTACATTTAGTGAGTCATCTTCTCCATTGTGTTGATGTTTTTCTCTTTCTTGACGTCACATGAGATTTGTTGTTGCTAAAAAAAGGCATTATCTCTGGATAATATAATAACATGCATACAGTATTCTTCAGTACTTTTCTGTTGAAGGACTATTATAGTTCACTGAGTATTATGTTAATAAATAAATCGATAAAAGTACACATACATAAAAATAAATATGAAATTGGTAATCAAGTTCGGCAAATATATCTCAGTAAAATTATAATGATGTGCACACGTTAGATTCGATCACGTGTCGGCTACTCGTGGATATAAATTTCTAAAATTTAAAAAAATATTTATGATATTTTTAGTAGAAAAACAAATTCAAAGATTTTCAAATTCTATCTAACGATTAAACAGTTATTTTTTGATAAAATTTTTTTTTCATTAAAAAATACAAATGAATATTAAATTGACAAGATTCTATTTTAGGCCTCATTGTTATTCAGATTAAACAAATGTTTTTAATTTAAAATCTTTTTTATTTACATTGTTCAATCTGTATAAATATTGAATTTATCATATTAGTTTATCGATTATTTTAAAATTATTGATTGTCATTATAAAGGATAAATTCTAGTCATAGCTAATATATACTGAGCATCGCATATCTTATTAATAATTGCGGAGATTGATTTCAACACATCGGAGATGTCAGTCATATTATCAGAATTTTAAATAAATTTGTAGTTATCAGAATTATTCGTACTCAAGACTTTATAAATCTGAAAAGTAATATTAATTTGATTATCAATATTATTTTGAAAATAGTTATGATATAGAGAATACACTTCAAACTATGACCAGTATTGGTTTTAGATAGAAACAGTTAAACTACAAAAATGGAAGATAATAAGAGTCGTTGTCTCCATCAGATAACTTATAATTTTAATAACGGGAGCTATATAGACCCTGTACTTGTTATTTTGAAAATCAAAAATATTTTAGTTAATATTATTGTTCTAATTCGCCTTATTTTGTACCAATATGCTAGCTCGTTCTATTTTTTGGTATTTCCAGTTAATAGTCTTATATATTTGATGGTATTTCTTCCTATTCATTAGTTCATACAAGAATATCAATTTCTTTTTTTTGTAAATTCTATAATTAATTTAATAGTCAATGTAGTTCTTCTCTTGTCTTTCTTTGTTGTACTAGTCACAATTGACCAATACTATGATATTTAAATTCAATATAAAAAAAAGGAATTTTAGTGATGTTTGAATGTCTTCCAAGCATCATCTATTTGATGCTCTGCCCATGTAAAAATAATTGCA